ACGGAAAGTATATCGCTACTAAACGCGCCTAACTAATATGGACAAAAAGAAGCTAAAATAAGACGAACACCATTTATAATATAAAAATTGTGTCAACAAGCACATGCAACAGAACTAAAGTAAGGGATCAAATGTATGCCACCAACACTCCAACGGTATAAAAAAAATAAAACAAAACAAAACACATTATCACAGCTAATTCTGTTTTCCATTAATTTGAACTTCATTCCCTTGATCTTTAAATATGATCATTCCTTAAATGTGGTAGAGGAAATAATAGGGTAAGGGACTTAGGGTAAAGGAAAGGGTATAGATTAGGGAAAATAATATTGTATAGCCGCTTCCAAAATAGTAGCGGAATATATATACATTCTGTATGTTATATTAATCTACACAAATAGGTAATTACTCATTTAACAAGTGTCTACAGTCTAGGGGTGTGCATTTGATTTATCGATTCGATTTTGACCCTTATCGATAATTACTTATCGATTATCGATTTGTACATATGCTTATCGTTATCGTTTCAATAAGGTTTCGATTTTTTCGATTTCGATTTCGATAACAAATAATCGATTCGATTTATCGATAAACAGATTCGAATGCACACCCCTAGAAGAGGTAGAGGGCAGCCTAAGAAATATTGGGGAGAGGTGATCAGGCAGGACATGGCGCGGCTTCAGATTTTCGAGGACATGGCCCTTGATAGGAAGGTGTGGAGGTCGAGCAATAGGGTTGTAGGTTAGGAGGTAGTTGAGCATTTTTCTTCTTCGTACCGGGTGTAGCTAGTCTGATAGGGTTTGTCTTAGACTGCTAGGGGTTAATATTGTGTTCACTCTATTCGTCCGTTTTTCATAGCACCGGGCCTTATTTATTGGTTATGATTATTGTGTTTCATCCATTTTCTTGCTCTTATGATGTTGTTATTATTTCTATGGTTTCTGTTGATGGTACTGATATATTGTCTCTTTTTGTCTTGTTCGTTTTCTTGAGCCGAGGATCTATCAGAAAGAGCCTCTCTACTCTATCGGGTAGGGGCAAGGTATGCGTACACACTACCCTCCCCAAACCCCTCACCTGTGGAATTTTACTGGGTTATTGTTGTTGTTGTTGTTGATATCAGGAATCTGTTCTGAATTAGGCAGTGGTTAAATTTGTTCTGTGGCAAAAATTGTGCTGTCGTCTCACCAGAGAGTAATACAAAAGATAGAAGATAAAGACCAACACTAGATGGCCTCAAAATTGAAGAATAATAAACCAAAGTGGTAGTGTCAAAAACAACTTCCTCTATCAACAGCCAGAAAAGGGAAACAACTAGGTGCACCTGCGTCTAAAAGTAAGCATAACCCATGGCAACTTACTCTCCTGCCATCAAGAGGAAGCATTTACCTCGGATTCATAAGCTGATAAAGTACTCTGCAACATTCCAGCAACTTCATCAAGAGAATGACTTGAGTACTTTCCGTCTCCTACTTTTTCTTCAGTTCTCTTTGCAGAGACATTGACATTTGAATCAGAAGACACTTGGGAAGTCTATTTACAGGAAAAAGAACCATTAAAATCTAAAAGCTAGCAAATGGAAGCAAATAATAAATATTAATAGGAAAGACTGCAACATTGATGCACATCCCCAAAAAATTGGAGAAGCAACAAATTTCTCTAGTACTAGAAACAAATGGTAATCATCTTGACCTATTCCAAGAAATATACTACTTGAAGTTACCAAACGCTACAAAAACAATGACAGAGAAATTATAATCAAAAGGAACAGTTAGATGGCTGTCACAGCTGGACACAGCCAAAATTCAGTGTGGCAGTGGAGCATCAGATTTCAGCTATCTAATCATAGATGGTCGCGTCATAGTACAAAGCAACCCAGCATGTGACATCCAAACCTCCAAGTAAAAGAAAATAACCACAGTGTCTATCTTAAATGCCCACATCTAAGCTTAGAAAATTTACATTATAAAACCATTTAGACTTTTCAATCTTCAAAGATTGTGCATACTCTCGAGAATTAGAGTTCTCCTAGAAACTTGCAAATCAACCAATCTGATTTAAATTGGACAAGATGAAAGAATGAGAAATATGTCCAATTTAGCAAACTAGTCAGAGTAATGTGTAGACAAGCTAGTCAGAGTAATGTGATCCAAAATTGACGCTACTAATGGATTTTGAGAAAACAAATTTAAGGGGAAAATGAAAAGTGAGATCAACTATATATGGCGAGTACTAATTTAACAACTTTGTTCTAAAAGTGCATCAGTGCATCAAATTTACTCCACGAAGCTATCTGGTCCTCACTGACTTGGTAGATGACAGAGGATATCTTAATCTTATCCTTAGAATATTTGCACCAACCTGATGAATAGACTACAGGGGGTAGGGAGTCTCGTTACCTTTGCAAATTTCCCACTGAAAACTGAAACAGAAACTTTCCAGAAGGCAGGTACATGCTGAATAATAACAGCAGTCAACCTACGTATATATCTTCCTCTAAGAGCATCACCTTGTTCGCCGATCATCTCTAATGGTTGCAAATCACCAGGAGATACAGAGTAGTCAATGTCTAACTGATCATCATTTTGTAACATGTAATGAGAATCATTAATTTGAAGTTGAACTAATTATCAACAGCTTTCTGATAACAGGCAATCATACTTACAGAATGGTTCAGATCTTGCTGAATTTGCCTCCATTTTGCATCAGATAAAGCTCTTGCTCTCATCTCATTCTGTAAATTCTCCATCCTTGCTTCATGATCTAAAGAGCATTTCTCAAGCAAGCCTCGAATTCTGTGGTTCTGCGAAATACGGAAATAGCAGAATTATGTCCCCAGTTTTTAAGTCAGAATGAAGTACTATTCATAAAGGTAGACAATATTTACCACATCCATAAGGGGAGATACTATTAGGGAAATTTTCACATAAGAATAACTGGGATCCCTACTTTTCAATTTTATAGCCCATATTTCAATTTACAACCAACTAGCCCAAAAATAATAGGCTAAGATTCAACATCCAACTCCAATAGGTTCTCAAAATTACTATTTAATTTTTAAAAAAGATTGTTCAAGCTTTTAAGTTAATTTTCGAATCAGTAACTGTAACCCAAATATTAGTTCAACAAACAAAATCCATTTGGATGGTGAAAATTAGATTTTTAACAAGCTCAAATATGTGGGTTTAGATTCTGAATTTGATTTTGTGAGAAATTTGGAGTGGGTATTATCTAGAATTGTTAGAAATAGTATAAGGAGGTTGTATATAAAATTTGAAGTCATTTAATGGAGATTTGGACTGATTTTGAACAAGAATTGCAGCTGAAAATCGTGGAAGAAATTCGTCTACAGACACTTGTATAAATGTGTATAAAAGTGTATAATGGTGTATAAGATGTGTTTATACACTCGTATACACTATTATACAAGATTATACATAATTATACAAAAAACTGACTTCGTCTTCTTCCTTGCGTTTTTTCTGAAATTTAACTCAAATCTTGCTCAAATCTACTCCAAATCACTTCAAATTTAAATTTTGAACTCCTTTTGATATTTTCAATCAATTGGAACAACACCCAATCCAAACAACTAACAAACTCAAAAAATCTTATTTTTGAAAGCCAAGCTTTGAATGGCCTTCAATGGTGGAATGTTGAATCTTCAATTTTCTTACATTGCAACCAGGTGACTCAGGGGAGAAGCAGTAATGGCGGACGGCCCCTTGAAGCATATGTAGAAGATGTGAGAAGAAAAGAGAGTGAAAGCAATGTTTGCGAGAACATAGATTTAACTCCATAGCTTTTAGAAGCAATGGTTGTAAGAAAACAGATTTTGAATTTGCTAGTGCTTTCAAAATATGCACAATATGGGCTAGGTTGGGTAAAACTTAAAAATATGGGCCATTTTTTGTTATGTTGTGAAGCCAAGTGTAGTTTCTTGTAATTCTATCATACTATTACGCTGTGTTAAAGAAGGAAAGAAAAATGCCAATCATTATTAATTAGGAAGAGAAGAGGGGTTTCATGATCTACCCTGCATTTTCCTTTTCTATAAGAATTAAGCAATGAAAAGCCAAATTTCTCAAACATGGAAAGCATAGAAGTGCAGAGGAGAGAGATCAAAGAGAACAAATCTATATGTGCTGATGTTACAACTGTCCACCCTAAGCATAACACCATTATATGTAATCAAAAAGGATAATATTGGATTTAGATGCCTCACCTGTATATTCAAGTAGTGCCATACAGGATCTGATTCAGGTTCCAACTCCAACAAGAGTCTCACTATATTTTCAAGCTACAAGAAGCATTACGGAATACCACATGAGTAACAAGTATACATTGAGAAACCTCAGAACTTTCTAAAAACTAACAGGTAAGTAAAATTGTCAGCATTTAAAAGGTTGCACCCAATGCCAAGGTATGTAAGTCAAGCCCAAATGGAGATGAAGACTGCAAATAAAGCAATTATATAAGAAAATCTATCATTTGCATGAACAATGGTAATATCAAGTGTTTGGAAAGAAGCCATTATAAGTTAACAAGTTGTTAGAAAGGCAAATACCAATTGATTCCCTGCAGAAGAGAAACAAATTCCTTTAAACAATCTGAAATTAGATAACCTAGCAAGAATATATTTGAGGCATTTTGACGAATAGGTAAATTGCAAGCAGACGCAAAAAGAAAAGAATTATCTACACTAGGAGTAGCAGAAAGACAATAACCGCTATAAGCCAAGTGAACAAGAGATGAACAAGTTCGAGCTCTTTGATCAAGTGTAATCCACTTCATATAGTAGCATCCCAATCAAGCACAACTAATTAGGTGGGGGTGGAAGAAGCGAATATATGGATTGGAACACATGGAACTCGTTTCACAGATATATTCTTCCTCTAGCAAAGGTAAGGTATCACAAACCACTCTTGTTTTAAGTCGACGGTAACACAAGGGCCATCATTCTGTGGTGGATCTACAACCTGATCTCAAATAGTAGCTTCTCAAGCTATGTTTCGAATTACAAGTACATCAAGCAATTTGTACCCCTCCAGATAAATGTTACTCCCAGATGAATAAGAAAAATAGTTGTGGAACAGAATAGTCAAAACCACTCACTGGTTATCAAAGCAGATTTGGATCTGTTAAGGGAGGGGAAGCAAACCATTTGTAAAAACGTATTGAAAACCCAGGGCTAAATTTTATTGCTTTAAATCCAGGGACACGACAGAGTTGAGATCTTTGGTCCTTTGACTATTTCACCATTATACTGCAATATTGACGCAGCTCCTTATGGAGACTTTTAGAGAACCAACAGTCCACCGTGATGCCATCCTACACTTGCCATATCTTCTTTTATTCAAAAAGATGAACTCAAGTTGGAAAAATAACTAAAGGATGACTTACATTTGTTTGGTCAATATGAGGATCTTCCAGAGACTTGTAAAGCATGCCTTTAAACTCTTGCATAACTTTTTCAACCTCCTCAAGGACACGCTTCAAAATACCTACCTGAAGAAAACACATAAAATAAATTGTGACTAAAACAAAAGCAAAAGCTTCGGATAATGATGACAAAAATAACAACAAAAACGGAATCTATGTGCAAAGAAGTAAAAAAAAAAAAAAAAAAAAAAAAGCTTAAATAATAATCAGAAGATAACCTCAAGGTGTCAAGCATCATATAAAAGTCAAGGGGACATGTTTAATACTAAATCAAACTAAAAACATCAAAACCATGAAACTCTATCAAGTGTTTTTTCCCATGTGATGAAAGATGCCTACCCAAACAATCTACATTTCAACGAGCATAAACAATCTGCACTAGCCAGAAACAAGGGAGATCTTAAAATATATTTTTTAATAGGCGGAATACCTAAAAACCTCCCTAAACTTGACACGGATTATTAGTTACACCCCTAAACTATTCGTGGTCTTAATTACCCGAACTTGGTCTTTTGAGAGTCATTACCTCCCTGGACGCTGATGTGGCAAAGAGTGTGGGTGCACTCTCTTTTAAGCGCGTAAGAGTGAAGAAAAATTAAATATCAGCTTACAAGTAGGTTACTTTTTAACTTTTAATTGCATAGTCATATATAATGATTTATTTGTTACAACTATGTATTTCTTCTTGCTTCATCTTGACATATAATGTGGACTTTACGCTAACTTTTATTCTTTTTAATTTCTTCTATAGATATAATGTTTATTTGTTCCTACTGCATATTTCTTCTTTTTTTTTTTTT